AAGGCAGCTAGTCATTACTACCCACCGCCAACTCTTGGGCTACTTTTTACCAACGAATAGTGGGATTGATTGTCGCATCATAACGCCCCATGGCTAAAAGGGCGAGCATGTTTGGAGGGACGGGGATTCGAATCCGCGACCCTCAGATTGCGAGTCGAGCACCCTAACCACCTGGCCATGCCGGGCCCAGCCTACTAGTTTCGGATCTATTTTTCTACATAGCATGTGCATCTTACTTTTTCTTTTTTACTTTCGATCCCTGTAAAAATCAAAAGTAAAGCACAAATCTCAAATATGTCTACTTTTTGAGGGATTGTAGCAGAATATTGTTTGTACAAAATGTTACCTAGATTGATCGAAATATGGAGGAATGTAAGAGGAAACCCTAAATCTGTGAAATATTTTGATCTTTACTGTCCTCTATAAAATCACAAGAACGGCACGAATTCCAAATCTGTCCTGTCCATTTCAGTCTTGGGGGAGCAGGGGCTGTCATAAGGCATCGTTATGCAAAATTTCATTTGGATTAGTCAAAATATAAAGAAATGTCAGGTGGAAACCTGCTCTTATTAACTTTGATCCCTGTAAAATTATAAGAAATGCACAACTCTCGATACATCTGCTTTAGTCTGTAGGGTGGGGGGGGGGGGTCGCAAGGTATTTTTATGTCTAGTCTTATTTGGATTGGTGGAAATATAAAGGAGCTGCAGGCCGAAGTACGAGTTTTTTAGTGTTTGACTTTGACTTCCTAAACTAGGATTGTCGTCTAAATAATAATAAAAATTAAAATGTGTCTGGGCATACAAAACTGAGGTCCAGAAATAAAGAAATGGTACAAAAGTATAACAATTAGAAAGGAAGATACGAAAGAAATATATAAAATACAAGAGTTCTTAAATTACCAAATTATTTTATACCGTTTACTACCGGTGGTGCCCACATATTGTATTACAGTGAATAATTTTATGTTTTCGTCTGTTACAGCGCTCAGCATAAAGAATTGTGTTAAAACATTAGATGAAATCACTCCTTTTCCATAGGAGACCCCAGCAGCTGAATCCATGAGGTCAGTGAACAATATATATATTTCACAGTGTATTTCATGATCTTACGTACAGTATAATTATTAGACCGCAATTGTATTTTAATTATTTTGACGATATTACGGACGCTGTAATCAACACAGTTATGGACCTGCAAGTAATTACAAAAGCAATTTATAAAAGTGTATTAACAATGTTATGATTAAGATAAAAGGCACTAGAAGATTGTATTACTACATCACTAAATACAACTTATATTTAATATGTAAAACATTAAGCATTATTGATTCTAATTCCCCTTTTCGTTGTTTTTGTTAAAACTAGCGATACTGATATTAAAACACTCATATTTCATTATGAACAATATACATAATTTAAGCCCTAGCCAGAAATTTATTTCGGGGCTCTTAAAACTAATTTTAACTTTTCACTTATGAAATTTGTTCATGATAATATTATGATCATGATTTTTATTCATAATCAGTTACCTTGCTACAAGGTATCTTTAAATCATCTAGGTTTTAAAAAAAGAAGACATTTTTGTTGGACTAAATTGAAATTTTTTTAAATCAGTTTCAATGAATATAAGACGATATATTAATTTATTCAATCATCATATGTTTTACCTGGTCGAGTATATTATACAAAAACATTTTGAATATGCAAATAAGCAAGTCACCTGATAACCACAGATACAATAAAATCGCGGTGGAACGAATGTATCAGAACTACATTTTGACAATGTTTGGTATTTTGAAGATAGTACGATGCAACCGAAAATTAATCGCTTTTAAGAAGGATAATGCAACAGCTCTTTCTGACATAAAACATTCGTACACTCATATAATAAATATATGGGTAGATCGGAAACGTAGAATTTCCAAGACGAGGATATCCATTCTACATAGTGGCGTTAGAAAACAAAGTAATATGAACCAACTTGGGGCACTAAGTATATGTCTAGAAAAGACCAGAGAAAAGGCAACTAGTCAGCACCACACATTGCTGCAATAGCAACATATCAAGCTCAAGTTAGTTTTCAAAATTGAAAAGCATAAGAAATGAGGAAACTTTAATTATCATGCTGCAACAGTAAAACAACGGCACACAGTACTGATGTTGCTTAATGAGACACTCAAACTAGATAGATTGCGATTATATTGGACACACATTTTAAAAATTCAAGTCACATTAACTGGAAAAAGTTATCACCAACTCGCATCCTTTCATAAGTATTGAATTTGGTTCCGAATGCTCTAGTAATTTTATCTTATAAAAGAGCGCTGCCAATTTTGATGTCCACTGCTTGTTTGGTGTCTCTAAATGAGGAGAGTCCCTATGTCAAAAGCCTTAGCCCCCTTCTCTGTAGGTGACGTCAGCTGTAAATTTCAATTCAAGTTGTTTGCTCGATCAGTTACAGAATTTGCCCTATCTATCAAACTGAAAGGAATTCATCAGATGTATGTAGATATAGTAAATTAGGACTCATAGAGATGTATCCAAGATTGTGTTTTCTGAAACTACTTCTTGATTCAAACTTTTCCAGTCGCATCTTGTTCTTGAAAGAACTTATCATCTGCGTGGAAGATTGTCATTAACAAGCTCCACAACATGGCATTAGCAGTGTCTCAGTGACTTGATAGTGCCAGATGAAATTAAATATTATTTATGGTCGTTCCGAAAATCATTTTTCTGTTGAAGTAGTAGTTGTTCACTTGTACCATATATATAGTTTTTACTGTATATATTGTGTATCCATGCTTATGTTGGTCGTGCTATTAGCCTATTACTATGCTTGTATTGCCTGTACTATTGTATTATGTTGTGTACTTTACATAAACATATATATATATATATGATATTCAGGCCTACACAATGAAGCTTGCCATTATTATTGACCTGCCACTTATTCTGCACAAAAACACTCAACTGTTCTGTCCGTTACTATACAACCTAGGAAATGCATGTTCATGTATTGATGTTTCAATATTACTATTACTAGTAAACAGCACTGGGTATTTAGAACTCCCTTCTCACAATTATATCTATCTATATTGTTATATAGTTCCCACTCTTGCATGGCCTAAGTACTAATCAATGCATTATGGTGTAAAAAACGATGTATGATGTAATCGTGATGCACAGTTATGTAAATGTAGTTATGATTATGCTTTTCCTTAACATTAGATAATACTGCATATTATTTTAAGTAAATTTTGTTGATGCATCTCTATTGAGAACGCAACTTGTTAAACCTTTATTATATATTTACCGAAGTTAATTACACTTCCCAACTAACTTAAGAGGCAAATACAATTTTTTATATTTCCTACATGGTTTAGTTTTATTTGAAGCACTTTCCACCATAATGGTTAAAAATGTTCTGACATCATAGAAACTTGTAAATAGTAGTTTGTTAACATACATTTTCCTGTAATACAATTTTTTCATTTAATTTTGCACAAAGATACTCAAGGGTTATATGCACTAACTGTTCCCAATTTAAAAAAGATAGACAAGAGGAAAGGCAACTAGTCAACACCATACATTGCCAACTCCTGTCCTACTCTTTACCAACGAATAGTGGAATTCACTATCACATTATAATTCACCACAGCTGAAAGTCAAGCATGTTTGATCCTGCTAGCCGAGCATCCTAACCATCAGAGCATGCCAGACCATCATACAAATTGACAATCTTGATAAAAGAGTTAGCACAAAGGATCACACTTAAAATAAGAGCCAAAACTCGAGCGCTTTCGAATAGTTGACTATTCTTCTTCATGAGAACAATGGGTGCAAATTGACACATGGATTAACCATGAGATAAATAGGTCATTGCAATAAAGACATACCATTTAACCTCTCAGTGGTTAAAAACATGGCTACTCAAAGTGAAACTGTACTGGTGATAACATTGTCTAGGAATAATGGAACTGGTAAAAATGTTAACAATAATAATTCAAAATGTGAAATAATAGAACTTCTGAAAGTAGTACTAGTAATAATACAAAGTTAGAACAAAATGTATTATGTAAAAAATTATTAACATGTAACTTTCTGTGGAATGTAAGTGGTGTCTTTTTGCTTCCTGGTTTTGGTAATTATACAACTAGTTTTGATTGTCTCATTTTTTTTCTTAATTGAAATTCTATATAATATTAATATTTTGTGACACTGTGTACATGACTGATGAAAGGAAAATATTCCATTGCAGCTATTCATTTCTTTAACATAATGTGAGTTTGGTATTTGTTCTTGATGAGACACCAATTATACCTTTTTTCCTGCTACCTGTATGCACATTCAAGACATTTTGAGAAATGCAACTCCCCCCCTCACCTCCAAGATCCACATCTCTAGAGAGTGGTACAGTACATATAATTTACCATATGCTGTTCTTTAAGTGGATTTTTCTATAACCTTTTAGAAAAGTTATCTACGTGACTGTCACATCCATCGGTGACTTCATTCTCCAAACAGCTCCTTCATTATTTTATAAAGCATACTTATGCACAGTTGGGAAGACATCATTGCTTGCCACCTACATCTACGGGTCTAGTGTCAACACTATTCATTTTAATATTTTCAAAGCACATGTGCATACTGACTAGTAGAGCAAAAAATGGTCTAAGTTGCTTATTCAGCTTTATCCAAGTTCACATTTCCCAGCCGGCTAATAGTACACAATACCTTGATTACTATAGTGAAACCTTTATGAGTGATTATAAATCACAATAAAAAATCATTAAGTAACCCGTAAGTGCATACAATACTGTGATAAAATTTATGTAAACTCAAAATCAGCCCAAGATCTGAAGCACTCTTAAAATTTCAAGTACTAAAGATCAAGTGTAAAAATTAATATTATTTTTAGTTGCAATAAATAATATACTGCATATAATAATTGGTATATTATTATTATACACATTGTAATGTTTTTAACAGTTTCATAGCATTTAAATGCAAAGGTCCTACTTACTATTACAATGAACAAATTACAAAAATCAAATTTCAAAAAAAATTTACTTTTTCAACAATCAACGGACAAATGTGGGGAAATGAGAAGTACTCTAAAAGTTCATTAATCCAGTTTCAGTTACATAACATTTTTGTTTCCACAAATGTCCTACGTACTACATAGAAACTACTGATTTTGGTGTTAACTATACATAAACAGTCTTTATAAAATGATGCCATAAAGTGAATTCACACTTTTGAATCTTCAAAGAATTTCACATGTGTGTTATAATTAAAATCAAAACTTTAAAAAAGTTTATACACCAGCTTGTATTTACAATGATAATTAAAACATTAAATATGTAATTCAATGATTTCTTTTTATACCTCATTATAAAAAGTTGTACTGTAAGTCTAGTAGTATGTTTACAATAAATAACTGTTGCTTAAAGAGTGTGACGTAAAAACTAACACTGAAAATAGTTTTGTAAAACAGTACACACTTGTATGATAGTAAGTTGTATCTGTAACTTACTCTGTTCAAAGAAACTTTTCAATATTTAAACTAAATTTTACAGTGTCAAGAAAACCATTTATTACTGTATTATTTATGCACTTATTTTCCTTTCTCTATTATATACACATAATAGCCAATTAGTAAAATTCTGAAAATTTATAATCACATAAATCAATTTACAGCAGTTACAATTTTATTTTAGATCAAAATAATTATTGAAAATTTCTGAAACAATACAAATGAATTGTTTAACAATAAAGTTACTATTAATTAGACATTCTGGTGTTTGATGTATAGAAATTTAAGATTTCAAACAAGCAATTCTGTAAGAGTAGATATCAAACTGAATAGTGCATAAAATTCAGTCATGTTTTTCCAATCCACTTTTAAAGCAAATCAACACTATGCTAGTTGCAATTTAAAACTTTAAACAGTCATCCAGGTATTAAATCAAACAAGTTTGTTTTCTGGAAAGTTACATGTACTGTAATAATGGGAAAAAGCACACAAAATGAAAAGTAACTAAAGTTCAAAATCACATATACGCTGAAAACATTTACTTAAATACCTGTGGATGCTTACGAATAAATATAATTCATATGAACATAAATACATGGTAAAAATGTACAACACAATATGGTGCCAGTTTAAAACAAGGTATTTAAATAGTTTTCACGTAATATTCTTAAATAAAAGAAGAGTGAACAAAATAGACTGAATCCAATACAGTGTAGAAGTCACTAACATAAAGATTTTAAACACATCAAAACTGACATCTTTATTTTATAATTATTACTCAATTGCAAAATCAGGTTGAAATCTGTAACAATTATTAATGTAAAATTACATTAATGGTAATTTATTTTCCAACTCACCAATGAATATTGTACAGCAATTAAAAGTATTACATATTATCTATCAACTAACAATGAATTCAAACATATTTTGACATTTAGTAAAACTCGGCATAATACGTACATATGTGTATATATTATTCAGCATAATACGTACATATATATTATTTTGCTTCAGAATACATTATTTACCATACAATTAAAATAGAAAATATCCAACTTTCTATGAATTTTTTAAAATTCTACAGTTAAGTTTTGAGAACTTGTAAGATAGTAACTCTTAAAATAATGGATAATGTTATTAATAAAATACTTTTTATATAAATCAAATTATTTGAAATTCTGCCTGAATGACAATTAATACAAAATGTTTTCAGAAAGAGACAAGATAAATTACTATCCAATATAATTTATTAGACAACATTTTGGACAATAGCCATTCATCTGGTATGAAGTTGTAACAGCTCATAAAAACAAAAATAGTGTTATATATTTTGATTGGATGAAAAAAATTTAATCTAATCTCAACAACAATGCCTTAAAGTAGAAGAAGGGCCATTCTATAAAATACTGTCCATCTTTGTGGGTCTTGTAAACAGCATACTTTTCAAAGGTTATAATATTTTTTATATACTAACTCAGCAGTGATTTTTCTATTTTTGTAATTTTTATAATTTTCTACCACTTATTGGATATAACAACAATGAAGAAAATTTATTAAAACTACTATAAAGACTTGGGTAACAAAGAAAGTTGAGGTTCATATTACAAGCCCTGTAATTTGGGGCATCTTAGAAGTATTAGGAGAATAAGTACCATCATGGTTCGGACATAACAAGCATTTCAGTTATTTTTTTCACTAACACCTAGATTTCATTTCAATTCATAATTTTTCTATAGATGTTTCATTATGAAGAAAATGCAGTTGAAAAATCCAACAGCTTACTAAAAGGGACTAGATTTCATAATCGTACAACATGCATTCACACATCTCTTGCATATTTCATTCTAAAAGTTCATGATTACTACAGATATTTTAAAGAAAATGCTACTGAAAACATGCTATCCAATATTTCTTTGCAATACTTTAGGGAAACAAGAACTACAGTGAAACCTTGTTATCCAAGAAGCTGTCAAAAAAAATCCTGAGATGTAAATGCTATCAAGTGCTTAAATTTCTTTTGTAAGGGCTTCTTTTCTTTTCAAATCACCTATTGGCAAGGGTATTTCACTACTGATCTCATCAATTATGAAGTAATTTATAACTTAGGATACAACATTAACTATTAAAAATGACATATGAAAATAGCAACAACAAAAACATGGAATTTACGATGACTTGCTCTTGGTTGGTGTTGATTCTAAAATGGGTGAGAAGTTTTATTGCACAAAACCTCACACAGCACCTGGTGTGTTACAGAAGAGACAAATTAGACAGACTAGTCATCCATTTGGTATAACAAGATAGCAAAGTAGCTTAATTTAAAACTTCACAATCATAATACAATATATCATATGGGTAGCAGCAATTCTGGAAACATAAGTTTACATGGTTTTATTCCCATGTAAAATCTTATGAAAACACCAGAATATGAGCATTTTGTCTTAGAAGTAGATTACGCTCTACAAATTTCTACTTCATGTTTACTGGCCAATATTGAATGTAGTACCGCTGAGTGGTTCCTTCAAATAGTCGATCCAACCAGTTTGATAACCGGTCGAGTAGATGTTCTTCAAAAAGCACATTATCTGACTTCAATCTGCCATTACTTCTGTTTAAGAGCTCTCCTGTTTCAATGTCACTACTCTCCGACTCACTACAGCTCTCTTCAAATCCTATAAAATTTCCATTGATACCATCTATTGTTTTGGATTCCTGTAGAAAAATAAAAACAGTACAAAATATCTTGCAGTGATGTTATTATGAAAAACAAAACAGCTTCAAACTCGTATATGAGAAAAAAAAGTATGTTTAATTCAGTGATCGACAAAAACAAAAGTGAAATATATGGTATTACAAATAATTATGGAAACACACAAACAATACACATAGAAGTGTAAAGAAGTAACTTGCAACTAAATATTCTGGTCAATTTGTTGTTAATACAGAAATTAAGAACATTGTGTTAAAACTATTTTAGTTGCTAGTCAATGCAATCACTTCTGGTCATGCTCTATATAATGACTGTGCATTATGAAAATTGTTTGTTTGTTTTGAATTAAGCACAAAGCTACATAATGGGCTATCTGTGCTCTGCTCACCATGGGTATCGAAACCCAGTTTCTAGCATCGTAAGCCTGCAGACATACCGCTGTGCCACTTGGGGGCCCATGATGAAAATAGCTATGAAGCATATTTTCCACTGCAAAAAAGACTATTGTATGGCTGTCAAGCACAAATCATATCAAACCTCCCTGCAGGCTTTCAATAATCTATCTAGTGTATGAGGATGATAGTTTCCCAGTGCCTATTTCAATAGTCCATTCACACAAAAACCCAAAGATGCTGTAATGGATATTTGACTTGTACATCTTCTTATGAAATAGCATGAATTCCCCATTCTACAGCTGCTTGAGGTATGCAAAAGTTAAATGGATACATCACAAAAGCAACTTGTGTGCACGTGGCTTGTGTTGCTTTTACAGATAGAGATTCTTCTTGATCATGTTGTGTACTGTTGCTCAGGCTACTGAACTTTTTGTACCTGCCAGCAGTTAGAGTGCTATCAAATTTGAGTGTATCTCCAAGATCATTGGTTAAGATGCAGCCAAAACTTGTATTGATCCCCCAGTATAGTTCACTGTGGATGTTGTACATCAACTATATCTTTTTCTGCTTTTGAACAAACTGTTGCTGACTGTTATCAAATAATTTTAATTCACCTTTAAAAAGCACCCTCATCCAACTTTGCTCACCTCACTGTATGAAGTCTGATACCCATTTCAGCCTTCTGGTTTGGTTATCTTTCCTAAGCAGTAGTTTCTGAAAGGATACACTTCCACTGAGATCACCTCATGCTAAGATGAATCTTACTGTTCACATCTTTAATTACAGTTAGGCCATTGGTAACATCTCTACTGGACTATCATGTATCATATACAGAGCACACACTACTGGACTATCATGTATAATATACAGAGCACACTCTGAATTATTAACATTTTTGAAGAGTTTTCTATTTTGACTGCTTCTGTTATCAACAGTACTACTTTCACATACCCTCTTCAGAGATTCCATACAGCACATTTCTCTTGTGGCATTTCTGTCCTGAAAGCCACGAGTGTATTCACTACACTACGACTAGTACTATCTGTAATGGTTTAAGTGCTGTTACAGTATTATACTGATGTGTCAAAGTGTGACTGGTTAGATGACAGCCAACCACAGTGTAAACTATCAACAAATGAGCTTCACGAGGGGAGCTTATTTGTTGGATTTTGTATAAAGCTACTCAAGGGCTATCTGCACAAGCTGTCCTTAATTTTGAAGTGATAAACTAGGGAAAGGGTAACTAGTAAACATCACCAACTGCCAACTCTTGTCAGTACAACTAACGGGATTTCACCATCGCTCTTATAATGCACCAACAGTCTCAAAATGTGCAGCTCAATTTTTGTTGGTGGTAACAACATATGAACCACAGCCCCAGTTCTATGAAACAGTGTACAAACCACTGGGTTGCACTCAGCCCAATATTGGGAGATATCCAATAATATTTGTATTTTATACCCAATATATTCACTGTTATGGTACCTCTTAGTTCCTTTTAGATGAAATATATCTGGTGTCTCAATAACAACATCATATAGTACCCCTTGGTTCTTTTTAGATGAAATATATCTGGGGTATCAATAACAACATCATATGGTACCTCTTAGTTCCTTTTAGATGAAATATATCTGGGGTATCAATAACAACATCATATGGTACCTCTTAGTTCCTTTTAGATGAAATATATCTGGTGTCTCAATAACAACATCATATGGTACCTCTTAGTTCCTTTTAGATGAAATATATCTGGTGTCTCAATAACAACATCATATAGTACCCCTTGGTTCTTTTTAGATGAAATATATCTGGGTCTCAATAACGACATGTTGATAATAACATGCTAAAGTATGCTCATAGTACATTTCATATTATATATATCTTGAACCTAAATGGCTTATTCAAAAAAGAGAAAGACAGATAACTGCATTTATGATAACTGTGAAAGCAAACAGACAGATTATGCTAAAATAGAAAATACAATGTATTTCTACTATGCAAATAAATTTTCTTTCTAGTCTTTTAAATGTACAAAATTCTCTACAGGATCTATCAAACTTACCTTGTAATCACAATGATCCATTCGTGGCTCGGCATGCTTGGCATGATACACACAAAAATACTTGCGGTATCCATTCAGTGACAAAACGGTACCAATGCAGTTCTTAGGGTTGATGTTGAGTTTTCTAGGATCTCCTAAAGTTTGAATTAAAATTTGATGGTACCACTCCAAGTTCTTTTCCACCATCAGAAAAGCAAACATCAAGGTTTTGTTCCTTAGTAGAGAGAGAGGGAGGAAGAGAAAAAAGGTTGAAAGCATAATGTATAGACAGGACTCTGAGATAAAAGTAATAAAATCCACAAATGAACATTTCCAGTATACTCTTCCTAAAATCCTAAGCAGCCTGGGATAGGAAAATTTTTAAAATTCCCAAGTCTTCTTCAACTATTGAATATATGATGTTGATGGTGAGTGAGAACCATCAAGTGTTTATCTGCAAAAAAACCCTGTTAAATATGTACCACACCAAGTTTTTACCACTATAAGGAAAGCAAATATATCTTCTGCTTTGTCCACAATACTAGATTCAAAGAACATCTTTTAAAAATAATGTGTTACATTATTTCACATACTAGTATGAATGAGGAGAGGAATGGATTCTACACCTGACTTGTATTCTGATCTGAATGAAAATCAGCTTCCAGATATGATTTACATGGTAGTAAAAATAAAAACTGACTTCTAGTATTAGCCAACATGTTTGTAAACAATGAATACTGACTTCTAGAATTAATTCCCATACTGGTAGGAATAAATACTGACTTCTAGAATTAATTACCATACAAGTAGGAATAGAGACTGACTTCTAGAATTAATTACATAACAAGTAGGAATAAACATTGACTTCTAGAATTAATTACCATACAAGTAGGAATAAATACTGACTTATAGAATTAATTACCATACAAGTAGGAATAAATACTGACTTCTAGAATTAATTACATAACAAGTAGGAATAAACACTGACTTCTAGAATTAATTACCATACAAGTAGGAATAAATACTGACTTACTAGATTAATTACCATACAAGTAGGAATAAATACTGACTTACTAGATTAATTACCATACAAGTAGGAATAAATACTGACTTCTAGAATTATTAC